TTCTGGGAATTCCCCTGAGTATAGCCATTCCAAATGCTCATTAATTTCTTAAGTCTCTTTAGTTTCAAACCTGCCAGCAATTACCTAGCTGACTGTAAATTCTTATCATTTGAGATAAGGGAGTCCCAGGCTGTGAGAAACCTTTCCCCTCAGTGGGAGACATACTTGAGGGAACAATCCCACCCATGTTAGCACTGTCCTGTCCAAGGACAGTACAGGAGCCCAGCAGTACTACCCTCTCCAAGGATAGTGTGGGAGTCCACACAAACTGTCAGCTTCACTCACACTTCTTATGTGCCGGGGGAAACCGCCCTTGCTTTCGGTAGCTGTTCAGTGACACAGACAGCACCGGTGCGGCTGTGGTCCCGTTCCGGACTAGACTCACTCAAAACCATGCACTTGGACTCGCCAACAATCAGTCAGCAACAAAATCCAACCCCTATTTGGCTGTACTCAGTGTTTTCATTTTAAATCTAACTCAAGCCTCTTAAAGCAAATGTAGGAGCAAAAGATGACTCTTACCGCCAGCCAGTCCTACTGGTGACGAAAACAGGGAGGCGGACTGGGGGATTTTAAATGGATCCCTTACCCTCCAGATGCGCGCTGTAGTCCGTTCCTGTTCCCCGTCGTCAGACTTTCCAACTGGCGTTCCAAGCTATTCCACTTCTGACACCAAATTGTTGGGGAAATCTTGCTCCACTGGAGTAAAGAGTCCCCAGAAGGGGCCGAGGCTGGAGGTCAAAGCAGTGAGACAGGAGAGAAATCTAGAAGGAAAACTTTATTATGCATGCATGCAGGCTGACAGCTACCAGAGTGAGAGCAGCAGCAGCCCTGAGAGAGAGTTTCCGGGATCCTTTATACAGTATGTTCAAACAGTTTAGTTGTTGATTGTTTTCTTTAACATATCAAAGTCTCAGCAGAAGTACTCTAAGACATTTCTGTTCACACCAGGTGTGCTGGAAGTAAGTTTTACAGTACAAAGGCACATGAGAACCTGAGTGAGGAGTCTACAAGGCAAACTGTGACAAAGATAAGAGTTTACATGACAATTTGTGACAGACTAGGAGTCTCCATGAACTTGAGATAGGAGGCATTGGCAGGGTCTTGATTAGAGTTAAGATAATTTCTCTGTTACAGAGAGAGAGGGGCCTGGAAAACTTTTAACCCTTACAGCAGTTTTCTTTTAGAGAGTTTTGATTTCCTGCACAGTCTAATTTTGTCCAATTTAGACAACATTGGAGTTATTTGATTTTTCTCCCACATGCCCCACAGGAGGAATGGAGGCTCACCTGTTCCAGATTGGTGTTGACGATCACCAGGCGAGACCCTTGGTCGATGCAGGCCTGCTTCACCTGCCCCCAGCTTTTAGTCACCATGGAGAAGAAGTAACAATTTTTCTCAAAAAGCTCCCAGCCAGACGGACGTTTTGTGCAGGTCGAGCCTGTGAGAAGTCAAAGTAGGCGATGAGTCTGCAGCGTGTTGGCCCCTTCCTAAAAAACTCAGAGAGAGGTTCAGGTGGGCTGGCCCCCGAATCAAGAGGAGGAGGAAGGGTGTGGGGGGGTGGCTGGGGCCTACAATCCCAGCCCCCTCCCTAGCTCCTTCTCCCCTGCTTCCCAGACAGAAACTAAAGACCGCCCCTTCCAGCCCTGGCCCCCAGCCAGAGGCGGCATTCCACCTTCCTCTCCCTCGGGGGTAACTGGTAGAAAAGGTTACCTTCCTGTCCCATCAGCTACTCGGCTGGGCCGTGGTACAAACAGCAGCCAGTGGAGGTCACTCACAACCCAAGCCTAGCAACCAGCAAGGTACCCACACTACATCACAAAGGGTCCATGAGAAATCAGAGCTCTGAGACTGACAGTCCCCAGGAGCAATGGGGAGAGGGCGATGTTCTAGGGCCGTATTTCTCGCCCAGTGGTACGAGTAGCCTTAGGGGCACGTGAAGGAAATCTGGGGGGTACCTCCACACAACTAACATTTGGAGAAAACGGAATTTTTGTTTTAAGTTTTTGCAGCGCTCTATTATTTTTCTACATTTTACACCCAAAAATTTCAGCGCCTGCCTGGCTACGAGTAAAGTCTTTAAACAAATGTGCTGCAATAGTAGAAAAAAAAATCGTGTGTCTGAAAACTGTAGGTCCTGGGGGTACTTTTTTTTTTTTCAAATAGAGATACTTTATTTAAAAACGGGCGAGAAACTCTGTTCTAGGTCATCCTGATTGACAGGGCAAGCAGGCTAATGCAAGAGTCATAAGTACAGAGCGGGGGTGGGGGTGCATTTTTGTGTCATCTCCCCCATTTTATCCTTATTCTTTGTTACACTGGTGGCTGTGTAATACGTTGTGTTTGCCGTGAGCTGTCTGCAATCAGCAGGGGTTAGAGAAGTGTCCAGTGCAGGGAGAGCACCCCGGGGTGGGGACCCCCAGCTCCTGCCCTAATGACCTCAAGGTTGGGGTGAAGGAGCCCCCCTAGGAACCCTGGGCCCAGCCTTGTGGGGGTGAGGAGGGCTCTGTCCCACGAAGGAGTATGAGGGGAGCCCTCCAGGCTCAGGGAGGCCTCTGGGTAAAGGACGGGGCAGTGGGGACTGAGATCTGTTCGCCGGGGTCGTGTGGGAGCCAGACACGCCCCCTACCCCAGCGGGACCATCCCCCGATTACTTAGATTCAACGAGCAGCCCGACCAAAAGGCTTCCCTCTGACGCTCTCACCGGGGTCAAGCACAGAATTGGCTGCACGGAATTTGCACAGTCACTGAAATTAGATTCGTTTCCCTTCCACCCGCTGTTCACAAGCAGTGAAAGAAACTGGAGCATGATTCAGCACTTGGACTTCTTTGAGACGTTCACCAAGACAGCCCCCATTCCCACCCCTTCTCCTGGGGTTCCGCCCCACATGGGAGCCAAGCTGCCTCTCCACTTCCTTCCCCTTCCCCCCACAAAGAGAGGCGGGGCAGCGCCCCATGTGCATGCCCCGCCCACCTTCTTACAGCTGGCATTCTGGGGGTGGAGGATGGAGAGGGACAGGTTGGCAGTTTGGTATGTCTGTGCTGACAGCCCATGACCAAGAATTTTCCCTTCTCCCTTCTGAAAAACTTGCCAAATAGTTTGTTGCAAATATTCATACTTTGCCATTTACCCCCTGAAGTGGGGAGAGGTGGCAATAATTTCTGAGGGGGGGGAGACCATGCCAAGATTTTGGAAAGTGGTCAAGCACCACAATTCTATGGAGGAGGTACGGGGTTTCGGAAGAAGTTTGGTGAGTGTAGGATGAACATTTCTGAGGCAGGCTATGATATTCTGTTAAGGACATCTTTTCTAAATTTGGAGTCTGGGACTGGCACACAAACACAGTACAGTACATAATGTCTACCCCCCACACCTAGCCCAGGGTGGGAGACAGGACATGACACATTCAATGGTGCTAGAAAACTGTTAAGTTCTCCTAATGTCTCTGCTTTAGTCCCCAGATGGACCACATCCTGCAGAGATAGCTTCTTGAGGCTGATGTCTGCTTTGTTTAGCTGGAAACACTACGTAACGTTATCCTATTAGGCTACGTCTACACTGGCATGATTTTGCACTTGCGCAAGAGCATTCTTGCCAGTGTAGACGCTCTCTTGTGCAAGAAAGCTCTGATGGCCATTTTAACCATTGGGCTTTCTTGCGCAATAAATTCATGTTGCCTGTCTACATTGGCCTCTTACGCAAGAACAGTTGTGCAAAAGGGCTTATTCCTGAGTGGGAACATCGTAGTTCTTGCGCAAGAAGCCCTGATTTCATACATTAGAATGTCAGTGTTCCTGTGCAAGAACTCGCGGCCAGTGTAGACAGGCAGCAAGTTTTGGCGCCAAAGTTTCTGCTTTTGCGCAAGATTGTGCCAATATAGACACAGCCTTACTCTTAATAGCACCAATCCAGGGGTCCAGGCTCTTACCCCCCCACCCCCGATCCAGAAGGAGAGGAGACTCATGGTGGGCAGTGGAGAATGCAGGCAAGGGAAGACATTGCCTTCCCAAAACTGCCCACACTGCCCAGCAGGGACTGGGGCTGAGCCATGGCAGCCCAGTTCTCCAGCAGCTGGGGAGAGGCTGGGAGGTTCTCTGGTGGCTGCAGTGGGCCTGCCCTCACTTGGCACTGGGTGGGGCTTGGCTGTTGTTAAGGGGGCATGGTCTGGGGGAAGGGGTGTGGCTTTGAGAAGAAGGGGCGGGGCTTCACCTGCCACCCATGAGACTCGTTCGCTCTGTAATCGGGCTGTACCAATCGCGGGAGCAGAGACCGACTTTAAAGTGACCCGCGTGTGGCCGGAATGGCTCGGAACCAGAACGCTCGTCAATCAAGCCCCAGGTTTGCTGTATTTTTTAAAATCTCGTGCATTTTAAGCGAGTCTCATGGGCTTCTCTTGAGACTTGGAATGCTGGGTTGGCAGCCCCGTGGAACTGCATATCCCCAACATGGCGCGAAACCTCAGCAGAACCTACCGTTGAGAAGTTGACTGCTAAGCCCGCCGAGTTCATTGGACATCTTCGACTCTAAAGAAAGAGGAGAGAATGGGGAGTTCCCCTTTGAACTAACAACACAGGCCCTCGTGCTGCCCCAGCCCCACCATCCACCCCTGGGGAGCACAACTGTTCATCCAGGTGTGTGTGAAAATTATGGGCAGTCGTGGGTGAGGCTGGAAATGGGTTTCACTTATAGACGTTAGTGAGTTATATCCCTGAGCTGCATGGAGGCCCCACCTGAGATCAAGGCCCCTTTGTGTCAGGTGCTGATGTCAGACCTGCCCAGGCCCAGAGTGAGAGACAGATACAAGCAAACAGCCCAGAAATGTTCCCCATTTCACAGGTAGGGAAACTGAGGCCATAGAGAGGCCAAGACTCCTTCCAGGTCACATGGGGAGTCAGCAGCCAAACTGGGGACTGAAGTCCGAGCTCCTGAGGTCCAGCCACAACACCAGCCACCTCGACTCAGCTGCAGTGCAAATGCCATTTAGAGCAGCAGGAGCTGCCCGAGAGCCCACTGGTACCGTGACCAGCGGCACCCAGGCATTCCAGTTGGTCACAGCCTCGTTGCTGTATTCAGAGACCCGGGGGCCAATCAGCAAGTGAAGAGCAGCGTTTATTCAGAGAGACCCAGGCAGGCTCCCACGCGGGGGGAGTGTGGTGGAAAGAACGGGTTAGACCCAGGACTGCATTGACGCAATCCAGGGACATCCAACACCCCTCGCGTGGGGTCCTCTTGGCCCCTCCCCTCTGCAATGGTCCCAACCTTTGGGAGGTTACATAAGAACATAAGAATGGCCGTACTGGGTCAGACCAAAGGTCCATCTAGCCCAGTATCCTGTGTGCCTACAGTGGCCAATACCAAATGCCCCAGAGAGGGTGGACCGAAAACAATGATCAAGCGATTTGTCTCCTGCCATCCCTCTCCAGCCTCTGACAAATAGAGGCCAGGGACACCATTTTAACCCCTGGCTAATAGCCTTTTATGGACCTAACCTCCAGGAAATTATCTAGCTTCTCTTTAAACTCTGTTGTAGTCCTAGCCTTCACAGCCTCCTCTGGCAAGGAGTTCCACAGGTTGACTACACGCTGTGTGAAGAAGAACTTTCTTTTATTAATTTTAAACCTGCTACCCATTAATTTCATTTGGTGTCCTCTAGTTCTTCTATTTAGGGAACTAATAAATAACTTTTCTTTATCGGTCCTCTCCACACCACTCATGATTTTATATATCTCTATCATATCCCCCCTCAGTCTCCTCTTTTCTAAACTGAAAAGTCCCGGTTGCTTTAACCTCTCTTCATATGGGACCCGTTCCAAACCCCTAATCATTTTAGTTGCCCTTTTCTGAACCCTTTCCAAGGCCAAATATCTTTTTTGAGGTGAGGAGACCACATCTGTACACAGTATTCAGGATGTGGGCGTAGCATAGTTTTATATAGGGGCAGTAAGATATTCTGTGTATTGTTTTCTATCCCTTTCTTAATAATTCCTAGCATCCTATTTGCCTTTTTGACCGCTGCTGCACACTGTGTGGAAGTTTTCAGAGAACTATACATGATAACTCCAAGATCTCTTTCCTGATTTGTCGTAGCCAAATTAGCCCCCATCATACTGTACGTGTAGTTGGGGTTATTTTTCCCGATGTGCATTACTTTACACTTATCCATCTGTGCTGCTGTAATGTGCCCTCTCCTCCCGTTCCCACCCAAGACACACACGCGGTCTGCAGATCGACCTCTTGACAAGCTCAGCTATGAAAAGTGAGTGAACGTTCATCAAAGGCCTCAGTAATGGCCGGTGAGGGGAAAGTTGCAAAAGGGAGACAGAAAGACTGAATTTGTCCCAACAAAACAGCCAGGGCGATGCATGGGTGAGTGGTGAGGGGGCACGTGACTCCCCCACCCAATCCATGAGTGGAAGAGGCAAGGGCCAGAATCTCTGGGTGGCTTGTGGACTAGCGGGGGACCTGGCATCAGTAGTAGAAATCCCCTCCCACACACGCTCACCAACAGTGATGGAGGGAAGGGCAGAAACGTGGATCCGCTCCCCTGCCTCCATTTCCCCCCAGCTCTCCGCCATGTCACTGGGGGGAAGAGGGGACGTGGCTGAGGGAACGGGGGAGCAGAGGAAGGTAGGGCCATGTCACCCCACTTCCCCCTGCCACCGCTGGTGAGTGCAGGGGCCCGACTCCTGCTGCTGGTGCCTGGCCCCTGCTAGTTCCCCAGGCAGCGCCGCGGAACAGCTCATGCCCAGGGTGTTGTGAAACCTCAGGAGAACGTACCGTTGAGAAGTTGACTGCTAAGCCTGCCATGTTCTTTGGACATCTTCAGCTCTAAGGAAAGAGGAGAGAATGGAACTAACAACACAGGCCCAGGGGAAGGGAGTTGGGGAAAGAGGCAGGGCAGGGGTGGGGCAGGTAGAAACGGGGGGGAAGGGAAGGCTGAGGCAGAGGCAGAGGGGGTTTAGTTCTGGCCTTCCCCGGGTTGGGGGTGTCATGAGGAGGAGTCACATGGGGGCAATCACATAGCCAGTGCCCCCTCCCCCTGAAAAAGGCCCCGCGATAGAACTGAAGCACTGTGGTTTAGACCACACCTGGCAATCATCACACGAGGAAAAATATGGGAGCAGGGACTTTCCACCTCAGTGCCCTGGGCCACACAATGGTGCCAACTTCCATGAATTGTTCACAAACTTCACTGTATTTGATAAGCTTCTACGAGCTGCCCGCCCCTGGCCCCCACATGTCTCCCTTTGGCAGGGGCTACTAAGGCACCCGACAATTCGAGTGTTTTTGACAGATCGCCGAGCAAGTAGCTGTCAGGAGCCCTTTTTCTAATTCTTAACACAGTCTGAAATCTTGTGAGTCACGCAAGGGACACTGTTTAGTCTGAACACTTTAATATCTACAAGCCTCCCGTAACACTCGGCCAATGAGACACTGGCAGAAAGGTGACCTCATCAGAACAAAATCTCATTGGACAATCAGTGATCCTAAGAACAGGACAAGAAGTTCTAAGAGCAGCTTACAGCTCCTGCCCCCCTTCTGCCACAGACCTTATTGTATGATTAAAAGGTTAAAGACCTGAACTTAATATGATCTGGCTTAGGGTCTACCATAACTTGAACACTAAGCAGAGGATAGTGAGTCACATCTAACTGAAAGTCACAAAAGATGGAAACAGGTTTTATTTCTGGTGGTGTAGAGTCTATTTGGGAGTCCTCAATTATATTTGACACTTTACATCCAGGCTGCGTCTAGATTGGCATGATTTTCCGGAAATGCTTTTAACGGAAAACTTTTCCATTAAAAGCATTTTCGGAACAGAGCGTCTATATTGGCACGGACGCTTTTCCGCAAAAGCACTTTTTGTGGAAAAGCGTCTGTGCCTTTCTAAACATGCATTTCCGCAAAAAAGCCTCGATCGCCATTTTCACAGTCGGGGCTTTTTTGCAGAAAACAAATCTGAGCTGTCTACACCGGCCCTTTTGCGCAACCGTTTTTCACAAAAAGGACTTTTGCCCGAACGGGAGCGTCAACGCTTTTCCCCAAGAAGCACTGATTTCTTACAGCAGGAAGTCAGTGCTTTTGTGGAAATTCAAGTGGCCAGTGTAGACAGCTGGCAAGTTTTTCCAGAAAAGCGGCTGATTCTCCAGAAAAACTAGCCAGTCTAGACACAGCCCCAGTGTTTAAAAGCAGAGCTGACTAGAATCAATTGAGAGTCCTTGTCTTGTCTCAGTGATCGCTTGAGCAAAAATCATTGATGAAATCTTGTGTAGACTGACCTTGGACTCAACATGCAGGCAGTGTGTTGAAGGGCAGTGAAAGGAGGCAATGGTGGTACCATATTACCTAGTGAAATCGTTGGTGCTGAAATCTAAGGACTGGAATTTAACCACAGAACTGACACTTTCTTAACAAAGACTCCATTTTTAATATGTAAAAAGTAAATCAATGTAACAGAAAACAGCAACGCTCTCTGGTAACTTTTTAAAAATTGCAGGCAGTGTGTTGAAGGGCAGTGAAAGGAGGCAATGGTGGTACCATATTACCTAGTGAAATCGTTGGTGCTGAAATCTAAGGACTGGAATTTAACCACAGAACTGACACTTTCTTAACAAAGACTCCATTTTTAATATGTAAAAAGTAAATCAATGTAACAGAAAACAGCAACGCTCTCTGGTAACTTTTTAAAAATCAAACTTCAAACTTTATTGAAAAAATTGGATACTTTGCCATTGAAAATAGTTGACCTACTCTTAAGGCAACTGATTTAATTTTGTGTAAAATTTTGCATAAGAAAGGATGGCATTTTTTTGAAAATGTTCAACTATATTGATATACATTTTGATCCAATCTACTTCTGACGTGATCTTTTGTGTGGTTGTGGTTTGTTGTGTATGGGGGGGGGGGGTTGCTCAACA